ACAAGTTTAGGAACCCAAAAATACATTTTGAGAGTTCAGGGACCTAGATGACACATCCGGACAAATTTAGGGACCGCTGGTACACTTCACTCAATTAAATACTTCTAGTAGTGTAGTATCAACACTTTTTTTTTAGGTTCCACAAATTGAATTATGGGTGAGAGCTTAAACGTTGTCACAATGAGTTACGCTTATGCACAAGTATTCAATGAAATATAAATGATAAGTTTAATGCAAACACTTGATCAAGATTGACTCGTCTAGCTTAGCTTGTGGTGTCTCTACATTAGTGAAAACGGACTGACTCGGTTAAGCACGTGCGCACTATGGTGCAAAACAAAATTGAGTAGGGGTGAGCATTTGTAACAAAGTGACTTATGAGATATAATTTCAAATTTTAAGTGATTTATGGGGTGGTTTTTACAATTCTTCCTAAAAAAATCCCCTTTTTTAAAAAAGAAGTTTGAATAATAAATTACTCCAACCTAAGCTTGAAATACATATAAAATTCATAAAAGATATACAAAATTACATAAATAAGTATTCAAACTTAGATAAAATAAAATAAAACCATATTCAATGAAAAAATTATAGTTAAAATGAACTGAAATTGCATATTGCATAGCACCACAGTTTTCTAAACTTAGCAACGTGTAATTCTAATTTTGAAGCACCTGAAATATTTTTTTAAAAAAAAAGACAATTATAGAAACATTTTGGTTTCGTTTTAATGAAATGTAGGTGCTAATTAATGTTTCACATAAAGCTAGCACATCAACACGGTTATCCTGTTGATCTATAAAGCTAGCACAGCAATTGTAAGGCTGTGATTAATTGGGTTTAGCAATGCGCAGTTGGCTGGTGGTCACCATATTTTAGCTGCAAGCAACAATTAATTAAGGGCACGTTTAGGACATGGAAAAAAATCCTATAAAAACTGAACCTTTTTCCTTAGAAAAATGTATAAAATTCCAATGATACAAGTGTACCCTTACATTTGGCATGGCCAAACCTGAGATTTCCTTCCCAAGACTGATTTACGTAGCTTCTTATTCTTACTCTCAATCTTGTTCTTACTCTCGATCACTTAAGTCGGTCTTACGCAAATACATAGGCCCCTTCCCTTTTGCCGAGTTGTTTAGAAGGCGCTTTCTATTCTACGGTCCTTTGGAGCGAAGGGTTAGGGAGGTAGTACGAGCCTTCTGACTTCCAGCTATGTGCTGTGTGCGATTCCCGCGAAGCGAATGAAGGGAAGCTCTTCGAGCTTTCTCCGCCTGCGGCTTATGGTGCCGCTGTTTTGAGCATAGCGAAAGTAGCAGAATCCTTTTTTTAAGAAAAGAAAAAAACAGGGCGAAATCATCTTAAGAAGACCATTATTGTTTTACTATTAATTGGGCTATTGCAACCTAATTCAGTACATGTAGCTGAATTTTCTACAGGGAATCTGGTAGATCCAATCTACCACTCATGTGGTGAATTAATTAAGAAAAGAGCCAAAATATATGTAGTGCCATCACAATCATCATTCATCAACTCTGTCCACGTACGATCTAAATTTTAGTCCAGTTGCTTTGCTGTCTCATGTTAAATGCAGTACTACCAAAAATCCAAATGATGATGAAGTATGCCGGCCCTAATTAATTATCACACGATGGAAAACAGATACCAACCATCAAACATACATGCACATTTAAACAGTTTTTTTAAAAAAAATGTGAGAAAGAAATTTATTTAATGTGGCTCCTAATTGGATGCAGGATAATAATTTTCTTTTATTAGATAATGGATGAAATCCGGCCTTTACTTTAATAGTTTAGAAGCTACATCTAATTATTACATAATTGTTGGCTTAAAGCAAAAAAGCAGCTACCGTAAGATGAAATGGAAGACAAATAACTACTCTGTCGTGGAGCCTAAAAGCTACTTCCTCCGATTCCATAACTCTTAATGTTTTGAACAATGACACGTTATCCAAAATATATCTTTGACTATATTTTTTTATTATAATATATATAATAAATAAATATATTTTTACTTTATTATGTTGGTTTGTAAGATAAATCAATATATGTTGTTTTAGTGCCTTTAAACAAAATATTTTTAAAGTCATCAGTAGTCGAAGTTATAAAGATTTGACCTCAAACTTATCAAACACGTCAAGAATTATGAAACCGAAGAGAAGAGTTCACTGCTAGAGAATGCATCTATACTCCTGGTTCGCAACCCCCTTTAATCCCGGGTATGCAGCCGGTATAGCTGATTGCTTGAGCGAGACTGAACGGTCTCTCGCTTTTCCATTCTGCGAGACCGCGCGGTCTCGCACTTTCACCGCGCGATATCGCCTGCGACGTCATTTTCACGTTATTTTTGCGCAACGGTTGTGCGATACCGACGGTATATTTCTATAAAAAATTTGCATCCCGAATATTCCTGAGAAAAAAATAGAATGAACAATATATTTTCAAATTTTATTCGAGGGCCATCATCCGCTCGTCCCCTTTCTACCTGTGAGTGCTACAATTATGGACATAAATTTTCTACAGTAACTGTTCTCTCTATTAAAAAAAATGTGCAATAGCTTATGAAACGACCTTGAGCTCAAATATTATGCCTTGATCATCAATTTATACAATGTTGTTTGTCACACCCTTGCTCTATGAAGGATCTCTAAGGCCTAGTTCTTTTCTTCAAATCCAAACTTCAACTTACTCTTTCTCGTTTGCATGCTTTTCAAACTGTTAAATAATACGTTATTTTTTAAAAAAAATCTATATAGAAGTTGTATAAAAAAGTTCAAATAAATTTATTTTTCAAGTTTATAATTATTAATACATAATTAATCATGTGCTAATAAGATTTCTTGTTTTACATATGTTAAAAATTTCTCTCTTTTGAAGTTGATCGAGCGCAGCCTAAGGAGGAGAAGGTAGCCCACCAATGAAAACGGGTTGTGTGGGGATAGCTTTCGTTTGAGGGGGAACAGATCCGTTTCCCTGACATGTAAAATGAAGTTGTGGATAAGTGCATGATTAATTAAATATTATCTATAAAAAACTAAAAAAATAAATTAATATGAATTTTTAAAGCAACTTTTTATAGATTTTTTTTAAAAAATATATTGTAACAGATTGAAAGGTGTGCTCACGGAACACAAGAGTATGAGATTGGAAAATTGACTATCCAACTCAGCCTAAAGAAAATCTAGAATATTTTGATGACCATGTTCTCCTATTTATGAGAATGCTTGGTATCATCCTTTGTTATATGCAAATCAAATATCCCATCTTAAATCTGAAAACAAACTCAAATTATCCCTTGGATAATTTTGGGAATGGTTTCACCACTATTACAATTGTTGTGGTTGGCTCCAATAGTCTCAAGTGAAACGGCGATAACATGAATAGACACACTTTATGAATGCAGATAGCAATGGACACTAATATGCATGCTATTGCTTGAGTCACCTCCATTTTTTTTTCTTGGGGAGTCATCTGCATATCAGACGCTACGCTGACAAACTACATATATAACCACTCTAGAGGTTTATTTGAATTGGCTTTCTATTATAGAAACAAAACAGTCAATTGGTTGAAGAGTTAAATAGTATAACCCCATTGCAAATCAATGTTTACATATAAATATATAACTCCCAGTGAATTTGTTTACCGTTTATTTATACTATATCCGTCCTACAGTATAGTATATAGATGATTCTGGCTTGTTTTGAAAAAAAGTTATGAAGGAAGGAGAAAGACTATAACATTCTCATTAAATGAGAGACATGAGGATAATACTGGGAAGATGGTTAGAAGTAATATTGGGAGATTTAAATGAGAGTTGATTGATTGAATAATTAATAATCTCTCATATAATGTGACAGAGTAGTATAAAGGATGGTGGTTTGCTAGTAGAAAGTCTATATCAAGCATGGTGCTAGTATGACTTCTGAAGAGCACGTACTCCATCCATCTCAAAATAAATCAACTTCTATCTTCTTTCTAGTGAGTTCCCAACTCACCTCCCTCGTGTTACACGTGTACGTTTTTTAAACTGCTAAATGGTGCGTTTTTTTACAAAAAAATTATATACGAAAGTTGTTTTAAAAATCATATTAATCCATTTTTTATTAAAAATTAATAAATACTTAATTAATCATAAGAAAATGTGACGCTTCGTTTTGCATGCGCGGGAGGGTCAGTTCCCAAACTCACCGAACACAGCCTAAAGGTTTTGTGGTCTTTCGTTCCTCTCTTTAAATTCTTTTTTGATGCTAGTGTAAGTTATTTTTGACATAGTGAGTATGATATATTGCTATATACACAAGTGTATATAAGCGTTGATGTGCACGGGTGTAAACAGCCAAAATTTTTCCGAACGTATTTTCACAAAACTAATATAGAAATAATAACATAATTATGTATTGTTACTATTTCTAAAGTTTGATTTTCTTAATTTCTGTCAGCCTCGTATAAAATCTGACATCGCATTAAAATTGACACTAAATAGTGAAAATTATAAATATGGAAATTTCCCAACTGTTCATTAAAAAAATGATGATATCTATGTTTTATATTATAAGTCGTTTGATTTTTTTCTTATTCAAAGTTACCGAGTTTATAAAAAAATTAGCAGCATCTACAACACAAAATTAGTTTCATTACATTTAACATTGAATAAATTTTGATAATACATTTGTTTTGTATTAAAAACATTAGTAGGTATCTTATATAAACTTAGTTAAACTTAAAAAAAATTTAAAAAATAAACGATTTATAATATAAAACGGAGGGATTACCATATTTTACTCCAACGTGACAAGCATGCACAAGCTTTTCTGGTTAACGTACACCCACGCTTACCATCATCAAATCGAAATCGAGCAGCAGAAAACCCAGAAACAGGTCGGACGTGTAGCGTAGCGTCCCTTTCCCATATTGATGATCATTCCACCACACTCCATTTCTTCCTCCTGACCTCCGCGCAAGCAAACCAACCTGACTCCGACCCGTACCCGTCCCCAACCGCCTCCTCCCCCCCCCCCCCCCCCCCCCCCCCCCATTAATCCACCCATCGATTCCCTCCTCAAGACCTCAACAAATCCACCCCGAAGCAGCAGCATCCACCGCCACGCAGAGAGCCAGCATTTGCGGCGGCGCGGAGGCGACTGTGTGTGGTGTGGTGTAGATCGGATCGGAGGAGAGATGGAGGTGGAGGTGGTGGAGGGGACGACGATGGTGGGGTGGGTGGTGTCCGGGGTGGCGTTCTGGTGGACGGCGTTCCTGCTGGCGCGCGGCGCCTTCCCCAAGCGCTCCTACGACTTCTGCAACCGCGCCGTCTCCGCCGCCCACGCCGCCGCCGCCGTCTCCCTCGCCTGCCTCTCCGTCGCCGACTGGTCCCGCCCCCTCTCCCCCCTCGCCGCCGCCTCCTCCCCTCCCCAGGTACGTATTATACCTACACGTACAACGATACGTACAATACATACGTACGCCAGGTGGTCGTCGTCGTCTTCCTCACCGTCGTCGTCGTCGTGGGTTTGGCTGCAGATGAAGGCGCTGGCGGTGACGCTGTCGTACATGGTGTACGACGCGGCGTGCTGCTACCTCAACGACGACGTCAGGGTGGACAACACCGTGCACCACCTCGTCAGCATCGTCGGCATCGCCGCCGGCCTCGCCTACCGGAGGGTAATTTATCTAGCCACTATTAAATTTAGTTGGCATCATTCAGCAGTGAGGCTAGCTGGGTTAGTTTTGCTAATATTCGTGATAATACAGTGCGGGACGGAGATGGTGGCCAGCCTGTTCGTCACGGAGATCTCCAGCCCGCTGCTGCATCTCCGCGAGATTCTCAAGGAGTTCGGCATCAAGGACACCGACCTCAACCTCCTCGTCGATGTGCGTACACACGTTCTCTCGATCCTTTTTTTTTTATTTTTACTTTCCGGCTTTATACTCCCTCATTTCATGTTGTAAGTCATTTTACCCTTGTTTTTTTTAAGTTTGACCCAAAAAACTAACAGCATCCATCACACTAAATTAGGTTCAGAAAAACTATTCTCTTTGCTTCATATTCCAATTAGGTTCAATTTTTTAGGTTTAATTATGTTTATAAAAAATATAACAGTATTTTCAATACAAAACAAATATATTATTAAAATATATTTAATTTCATATTTAGTAAACTAATTTGGTGATGTAGATGCTGCTAAATTTCTTTGTAAACTTGATCAAACGAAAAAAAATTAACTAGGAAAAATGTCAAAATAACTTATAATATAAAACAGAGGGTGTAACATTTAATATATTTGTTTTCTGTAAAAATAATATTGTTATATTTTTCTATAAACTTGATTAAAATTAAAATTGAACTAGAAAAAAAAAGTCAAATCGACTTATAACACGAAACATATATAGATGTAGTTTTTAGTTTTTGAACTAAATCAGCTCAAATCTTGTAGGAAATTTATAAAATTTATTGGGTTTAATTAAATAAACTTTTTTAAAAAATGAAACTCATGTGTATTCGCTTTGCATGTGCAGATTTTATTCGCCGTGATATTCTCGGTGGCACGAATGGGTTTTGGGCCATACCTCACGTACGTCACCGTTACGGCAGACAACCCCATCCTCATTAAGGTATCACAATCCACCATTCTATATCCATTATCATTATCTGACCAATTCAGTCCAAATCTCTCTCTGTTGCACCGGAATCTCAACTGCATACCAAATTCTCATCTACCATTTTCTGCATGCATGGTACTTGTACAGTTATACATATACACAAACCTGATGTTTTTTATCCTTTTTTTTTCTTCTTCAACAAGGCGATGGCGACAGGCTTGCAGCTGGTGAGTGCCTACTGGTTCCTGAGGATCCTAAGGATGGTCAGGCACAAGCTGGGGAAGAAAAGACCAGCGCCGAAAGTTGCCGGCGATTGATGCAAAATCTTGTTTGGGATCGAGCCGTGCTTGTAACATAGTATTGTTTCATGGCAAGAAATCAAGAATGTCTCAAACAATGGATATGATGATTTGTACTACTCTAGTAATTTAATTAGTTTTACCATATAATTGCCCACTGAATTAATTAGGAACGATTTCTTTTGTGGGTTCATAAAACAAGTGTTTAGAGATTTGGAGAAACAATTTCCTCGACTCTTCCAGTTTGCGTTAGAGGATAAATTTCACTTTCAGCTTGACACGTACACGGATAACACTAACGCAACTTCAGCGAAGAGAAACACCAGCTAAGAGTAAGATTACTTGCACGTCAACAAGAAGAATTGACCAATTAGAATGTTGTTGTAAAGTTGGATGACTAAACCCCAACCAGGTAAACCAAAAAAATAATAAAGCTACGTGAAGAAAAAGGAAAAAGAATGGACATATGTAACAGACAGCAAGTTACAATCAAACTCGAGTCCAAACTTGGTAAAATCTGGATCTACATACTCCATGTTAGCACAGAAAACTGAGAATGCCATTTTGGACGCTACAAAAAGCAAAAGCTCAAGAGTGAGAATGTTCCCGCGATTTCTTCAGAACTTCCTGCAACACGGCCGCGATCCTACCAGCCATGTGGTGCTCCATGAACATTTCCTTCACCCTGCCATAGCCTTTCCTACCCATGGAGACCCTGTCCTCTTCGTGGCTCGCGAGCCTTACCATGTTCTTCGCGAGGGGCGCGACGCCTTCCTTCCCGGCGGGGTGCAGGAGGCCGGTTGAGCCGTCCACGACGATCTCCGTGGTCCCTCCGGCCGCCGTGCCCTGATAGTATAGATAGATATAGGAGGGTGCAGTGTGACATTAAACCCAAGTCAATGAAATTGTGGGGCTGTTTGGTTCCCAGCCACACTTTACCATTACTTGCCAACAAAAGTTGCCACACCTTGCCTAAGGTGAGGTGATCAAATTGTTAGCCACAACTTACTAAGCCTAAAGGAATCTTGCCACACTTTTTTGAGCCATTGACACGTGGGACCCAATTTGTTGGAGGGGAATCTTGCCACAACTGTGGCTACAACCAAACACCTGTCAAATTTGCCTAACCTTAGGCGTGGCAAACTGTGGCAAAGTGTAGCTTGCAACCAAACACACCCTGTCATATGGAAGCATGAGGCAGGAGATGCCGGCTGAAACAGAGGATGGCAGGCTCAAGAGCCGAGGGTTTGTAGGGACAGTCAGACAGTCCACAGTTGAGTCCAAGGCTCATGATTGTCAATAATAACTCTGTATTCAGAGGCATACTGGCCCACATTCCAGGGCTCCTTTGGAACGTGGGAATCCTTTTTTTTTTTTGACTCCCATGGGAAATGAACTTCTCCCTCAGTTCCCTCCATTCCAAATATAAGTATTTCTGAAAATGTATAGAGCCCCAGACCCAGAAATGCTTATATTGTGATACAAACTTTGAATCCTAGAAATACTTATATTTTTATATTTTAGAGTGGAGGGAGTATTTATAAAATTCCTTTGTTCCAAACTATATTATGGTAAGGGCGTAAGGCTTTCTAGCTGGCAGATTGATGGTTAATAGAAGTAGAAAATTATACTCCCTCCATCGATAAATACGTACGTGTTACCTTGAGATCTATGCAGTTAATCATTCATGACCACTGAACTGTGAGGTTATAGAAATGGATCATGTGAAATTAGTGTCATTGGATTTGCATTCCCCAGTAAAATTATGATATATTTTTGTTTCTAATATACTTTGATAAAAAAAAGAATTGTACTCAACTCTTGCATCGAGACTAGTGAGTCAAAAACTATTTGTGTTTGTGGATCAATGGGGTATAACTAGGAGCACTTCAAGAGAGGGAGGGAGGGAGTTTTACCAACACTGGCAACTTGAATGCCATTGCTTCAATCGTTATCCTTCCAAAGCATTCTCCACGGGCCTAAGTACGAAAAGAACAGCAAAAACAAAAGCACATCAGCTTATGGATATTCTAGCTTTGAAGAGCTCTACTTATTGATACCTAACATACAGCATTCTCCACGTGCCTAATCAGGAGCAGGGCTCTGTGCCAACAGAACCATTTGCAACTGGCACACCCATAAACCAATCTGGAGCTAAGGCCCTTTCAGCTATTTGCAGACTGACCATACCCTACTTTTACATTGCTTTCAACTATGTGCTCATTGACTTGATCTAGACATTATTATTGTACGGAAACATTCCATAGATAAATTGGAGGCAAATCCAGGAATAACAAATCTATACAAGTATATATGTTTTTATTTGGACGAAAACAATATTATTTTTCTGTCTTGTTCTTAAAAATTGGAGACTGGTATTGCCTGTTAGCCATAACGGAACATACAAAAGCAAAAATATGCATTATTACTGATCGTTGCGGCATAACAATTAACAAGTAATAAAAAATGGACCAACAGTTCCAGATATTTTACTGATGAATGTGATTGGTACAGGCAGTCCTAGCCACACTGAAACAATACATATAACCATGGTTATGGCCTCATGGGTGAGCGACCGAGCATGAGACCATGTAAAAAATCAAAAGCTAGAGAAAGTAATCAAAATGGTTTGTCAGTATTGCGTAGAGAATAAACACAATTGCTGAACATTCTATGCCAATATACTGAAGCATTCTGCACTATCTATGTAGAAATAACATCTCCTGTCAAGTTACTTAAAAGCATGTTGTGACAATGAAGATAAGTTGGATGCTATTTAGGATTCAGGCTAATAGTTCTGACAGAATAGTCTAGAATAATAGAATTAACTCCATAATACAGTGGTTCAACCTATCGAGTTATCAAGCTTACTGTTCCCAGATGAAAAAAAAAATAGTAGTTAGTATTACTCTTAAAATCAGATGTGCTTCAAAACTCTCCCAAAAAAAAAAGAAAATGGCAGAAAAATTGTAAATCACATTAAATTCTTGACTTTCTGCTAGCAGCACACTCACTTAACCAACAGTTGATTGATTCCACGCACGCGCACATACGCACACAAAGAATATGAAGAGAAATAACAAACTATGATGCAAAATTGCAAATACACAAAAGGCATACAGTTTGCATCACGAAACACCACTGAACTGGGAAAACAAGAGAAAATGGAAGTGTTATTACAATTATTACTCACCTGAGAGTTCTGAACAAGCACATCAGTTGCAGCCAAATAAGGAGCCACTGCTAATGTCTTGTTTACAAAGTGAACCCGGTCCTGAATCCCATTCTTCACCGCAAAATCACGTAATTGTGTCTCAAACTTGGTCTGAGCATTTATGTCACTTCCCACAACTACAGCATGCATTGTGGGCACTTTTAACTTCTTCTGTTCGATGAGCTGGACACCCTGATAAAACGCTTGAAGAAATAAGTCCTGCCCTTTTCCACGTGAAACACCTGTATTTTAACATCAATCAGAGAAATGAATTGGTATAATCAATATATACATATATAGTTGGAATAACAACAGGGATAAGAAGCTGCAAATGGCGCATACTGTTTATTATTGCAAACACAAGATCTTCACTCCGTACTCCAAGGAACTCACGGATATGCTCCCGTAGGACTCTTCTTGCAACATTATCTTCAGCAACTTCCATTAACTCCTTACTATTCCCGAGGTGAACAACATAAGTTTGTGGCATCTGTATTCTTTACATGGAAGCAAATCAGAATTATATAACAACGAAGTACAAATTTAGGAAATTTAAAAGCATTGAACAAGCATTTGATCATAGCTATCATGATTCATTTTATAGAGTGAAACCTCATATATAGGCTAATTGAAGAAGAGAAAAGTTGCCAATGAGTTCAGCAGAGAAGCAAAGGGCCAAAGAAGTTTATCATCATCTAGGGCAGTAAATAATATAAAAGCACTAGCAAGTCCAATAAGCAGAAACGGTGACAAATGTTACATGATCCAGCATTTATATTACAAAGAATGTGAATAATTTTGCACATACTTCAAACGGTCATGAGTCCTGGTCTTCCAATATTCAGCCGTTGTATGAGAATCAATCATGGCTCCAGCAACCAGAGGAAGATGTTTGACATATTCAAGCTTAAAGTAATGCCCTCGCATTTCATGGATCCACCACAAAATCTTGGGAAGAACTTGGGGAACATGGTCATTTAGGACAGCATCAAGCCACTTGCCAGCAACAGCAGTGTTCAAGATAACAAGATCAGCCTTTAGGGCAGTATCAATCGCCTCATGTCCCCTAGCAGGTAATACCTATGAAGCAAGCAGTGATAGTGTGAAAATTGACGAGAGCATGGAATGTTTGTTAAGTCTGCCAAAAGAAGGGAAAGTATTTGGACCTGTTTTTCTTTTGTACTCCAACATATTCTATCAAATATTGCGTAGTAATTATTTCAAACGTTTAAGTAATTATCTCAGGAGAAAACAGCCATTTGGAACAAATTTAAGAGGGTAATCATAGTACATGAGACCAAGATAGGACTGCAACGAGTATGTAGAACATCAAAATTAGCAGTACTGACAAATAAACAAGCAAGAGAACTCAAAACTAACACTCCAAGACTACAAGACAATAATAACAGAGTAAATTCATCTGTAGCTATTTATTTATCACCCCATCAATATGGTTTATCAACAATCTTAAGTAGTATATAACTACTATATACTAATCAGTTATAAATTTGCAATGCAAGAAATATTATGGCTTCTGTGCATATAGTAACATGCAGATGAATGATGGGATAAGATTAGACCAGCCACAAGAAATCCTGTTAGTCTTAATGAATGTATATATATATATTGGTCTATATTAGGACTCAACAATGCACATGAGCAAAAGCATGACACAGCATGCTACAAGATGTTGTTTCAAGGATCAAACAGTTAATGCCAATTTATACTGAACTGTTTGATCCTTGAAGTTTCAAGTGTTATATGAAAACTTCCACCCTTCTTTTATTTTCCCTTACCGTGCAATATTTTATTCCATTGTGCCTTCTTGTGTGACTCAACATAAACAATCAATCTAGTATTCTCTAAAAATTTAAATAGGTTCTAATTCAGAACTAAAACATTACATTGTGGTAATTCAATTTCTTGTTTCCCACAAGATGATTTATTCAACAATTTTGTTTACACTATGATTCATTGAAGAAATTCCATTTTTGCCCATCGAACTTTGCTTTAAAGTCCAATTATCAAACTGAACAGAAAAAAAAGTTATTTTTCATATCTAACTTCCAATCCGAACAAATGATATCCTGGACCATATTTTAAGGTAGTGTTGAATAGCATGGCGGTGGCTTTCACCGAGGTGAACTCCTATTAGATATTCTGCTGACATACGGGTAATTTGCAGAACTAAGTAGCGTAGAACATACCTGCACTCCATGGCTCAACATCTTATGCTCCAAGCTATATGTAACATCATTTGTTTCTTCCGATCTCTGGTTTGTTATCCACACCACTTGCGAACCAACCTGCCGCAGAAGAAATGCCAACTCCATCAGTAACAATGGTCCCCCTGCATCAAAACAAAAGTGTTTCCAGTAACACCAGTAGACAATCAGACATAGTTACAGATGTCACTAACAGCAAACAATTCTATGAGATCTGTGACAATGAGAACTGCGTAGATATGCTAAAACTTCCAAACTAAGTTTCCCGCTTATAAACAACTCAAGCAGAGCGACGCATACGACAATTTTATTTGTGATCTGTGATAATCCGAATTTCCAGTTTTTCTTTTTTTCCTTTTCAGGGATCATGAGTTCGTGCTGAGCACTGGGAGTAGAAATTTCACTTTCCTATCAGTCTGTTTGCTACTGGAAATAAAATCCATATAACGATCTTGGAGGCATCGCATTCTCAAAAGGTAACATGAACAAATCGCAAGATTCCTCAACAGAATATACTGAAGCACACTGCTACTCCTTACCGGAGAGGGAGAGCTCGTGGGAGACGAGCAGCATGAGCTTGGACCTCATGAACTCGAGGGGGTTCCCTGCGACGGCGCCGGTGCGGGTGGTCGCGACGGCCGCCGCCGACGAGCCCGAGCCCCTGCGCGCGTCGACGTCACAGGGGTCCAGCATGGCGCCGCAGAGGAGGAAGCCCGCGGTGGATGCGCAGGCGGCGACGGCGAGGAGGAGCAGGAGGAGGAGGCGGGTCCTGTGGTGGTGGGCCGGGCCTCGGCCGCCGCCCGACGCCGCCGCCGCCGACGAGGGCTTCGCCATCGCAGACCGGTGCGGGGCGGGGTTGTATGGATCGAACGGACGGCCTGGATTTCGCAAGCCCATCATTTTAGCGCTTTGTGTTATTTTAATTTATTTTATTATTTCTTTAAGTAAGTCTCTTAAAACCTCATTTATTATTATGTCCAAGTTAAGAAAAATACATGTAAAAAAAAGTTAAAAATATACACAGTACTTTTGGCGTATGACATGTAGTAACCTCGGATATTATAGTTATAAAACTTCATAAAACCACACCAATGATTATTTTATCTTTGATCTATCGTAGTATTGTTTTTTTACAATCACATCTCAAATTTATAAATTGTTTATTCATATATGCGATATAATAAATGTTACATCCATTTATTTAAATTTGATATAAGAGGATGTTAACATTGTGCTTTTTTAAACTTTTAAACCGTGTCATGTGCTAAATAGTTTTTCTAAATTTACTCGATTCCTTTATCGGAATGGCTAAATGGCTGGCGAATGATTTTTGAGGCCAAAATCATGCAGATTACTAACCTTGGGGTTTGCTTTGAGATTCGTGCTCCGGCGACCTTAGCTCTTCTCTTCCAACTCCGGCGACCCTGACGAAAGCAATGGAATTAGGGTTTAGGGTCCTGGGTTGGGGGGAGGCGGCGGCCCGGCGGCTGGCGGTGGACACGGGCGGGCGGCGAGGCGGCGGCGGCGGCGCCAAAGCCGCGGCCCACGGGGATGGAGGAGGGCTGTGGGCCGGCGTCAGCGGGGGCGGCGGGGGCAAACGGCTAGGAGACGGCGATTAGTGGTTAGGAGGCGGTGGCTAGTGGTGACGGATACGGCGGCGGGAAGCCGTCGGAGACGGGGAAGATGGCGGGGCGGGGGCACTCGCGCCGTCCATTGGGGAAGAGAGGGGGGTAGGGGGTAGGGGAGGAGGCCGGCCGGGGGAGGGGAGAGGGGGGCTCGCCGGCGCCGTTGACCCCTTCCGGCCAGCCGGCGAGTCCGGGAGACGGCGCGTGGGGCGGCGGCGGAGGCAGCCGCGTGCGAGAGGATGCGGCGGCGGCGGCCTGGAAGGACGAGGCGAGGGCTAGGGTTAGAAATGCCAGCACGAATCTTAAAGCGATCCAACGGTTTAGAATTCGCATGATTTGTGAGGTGCTTTTCTTTATTGATATTTTTATTATTTTCTTTGGTCTATCCGCTTGCCGGTGGACTGGAGTGGAGTGGCGGTGGCGGTGGCGCACACTCGCGGCGGCTCGTGCGCCCCTCCGCCTATCGCCGCCGGCGGCCGGCCACCCACCCTCGAACGCCGCGGTGACGCCGGTGAGTTCTCGCTGCCCTATCCCCTAAACCAGATTTTCCGAGCGGTGCCATGAGAGTCCGTCGAGTTCGCCTGAGCCATTCAACTCCGCCGTGAGGGTGGGGGTCTCCGACGTGCCCGTCGGCGCGATTCCGGGAAGCCGCCGCCGCCGTCGTCCTGCCACTGGGGCTGCCTCAATCAGGTGCTCTGTTTGCAGCGCCATCCACGAGACGGGTTTATCCCATTAGCCCACTACCTTTCCCTACATTTCTCTCTTCTTCGCCGCAGCTCGATTTGCACAAGTTCGGTTTCATGATTTTTCTTTCAACACCAAAGCGAATAGCATTACATCAGAATCTGTGCATGTTCATGCGCAGTTTCATTCTTTGGACGATGAATCACCGTACATTGAAAGTATATTTAAGTTTATAACTGGGAATTGTTGTTTGAAACTGAATAGGGATGTTGGCAGGCTGGGAAACATTGGCTTCCTGTCCTGCGAGTGTCATTCATTCGTTGATCAAAGGTACTATTATGCATCTTATGCTTTTGAAAGAACTATGTAAGTGTCTACTTTACTTTTGAAATTTATGGACTGTTTTGTGCGGTCTACCTTGCCTCCAAACTAGGCTTTCCTGTTAGAAGTCTGAAGCCAACTTCCAAAATGAAATGGGTGTGGGGAAATTGAAAGGTTCTTGGTGTGTAGAAAGCCTAGTGCAATGTGAGGTTAAGTTCTGCTGAAGACAAAAATCCAATTGACTGAAGAAACATGTAACTGGAAGTATTTCTTGAAGTATACATTGCATATTAGTGTTCTGAAAAACTTTATGCAACAGCCATTTCTTGTTTGATAATTCACAAAATTATATGTTTAATACACACCACAAAATTCTAATTTCCACACATACATTTCCTTTCCTACACTTACTTTCATTTTGTTAACACACGTGTTTGTGTTTGTGTCAACTGAAGTCTGACATTAGTTGTTGTTAACCAATGATAGTTATTGGTTGTGGCAGTTCTTTATAATTTTTGTTTCATTCTACAGTGTTATTAGTGGTTACCTTCATGCAGTGGCCAGCCACTGCTATCGTTGTTGTTCCGAATTCAAACTGTTTTACCTTCGACAACAATAGCCGCCTTGTGGACTTTGTATCCTTGTTCCATTTATTGTGATATTCACTTATATATTTGAAAATTGAAACAACATCAAATTCTTTCGAATTGTTGTCTCCTAACCTGCTGCCAGGCAGATCTAATCGGGAAGAACTTTGAATATAATGAAAAGGTGATTACCAGAAATTATCTACAAGATGCTGAATATTCTTCTAGCCTACTTACACTAGGATTCAATTATGGGATTAGGGCAAGTGTATCCAGATATAGGCTCATGTTACATTATCATTGTGTCAGGGCTCAGTACCTTCTGATTTGGTTGTCCAGTTCTGCAAAGATGTGCAGAGAAGATCTCAAGCGGTATGACATCATGAAATGCCATTTCTAATGGTTAAAACCGTCGCATTGTATTCTTAAAAGGAAAAATTCAGATAAGAATGAGAATCTGGTGAAAACAATACATGTTCATCAAACTTAGATGTTCCTCAATATTCTATCAATTACAATAATCATTCATACTGTACCAAAATATCATTTGCAGAAGAATTGCTCATTATACAATGATATATTGGTAAACGAAGAGAGCAATTACTCATCATCCATCTGCTTATCTATCCTATTTAGTTTCACCCTGCTATATGCACACTATTGTATTTAAATATGTTTATTTTCCATGGTGCCGACATACATTTGTAGCTTCTGGTCGTTCTAATTTATTATTTTGATATACATGGTCAGTATTATCAATTTCGTCATCAAATCTTTTTGTCTTGGCCATTATGTGAATAAGGCAGTGCATTTGCTCACCTGTTTCAGGGATATACGGACTTTGGACGTTTTATCAGTTCTCGCTCTTTTATAACTGGTTCACAGCCTATTGACTTTATTCAGGTAACATTTCATGAATTTGAATCATTTTTCTCTACAACAAAGTAATGGCTACAATAACTCATTACCACATAGTTGAGGACGAGGCTTCACCTTCAATATAAGTATATAACATTCCTTGAGATTTTCTTAGACCTGTTAGGGGTCAGAGGTTTTGGTAGGTTTGCTGGCATCTGGTTTTCAAGAAAAATCCCATGATGTCTTTGTGCCTTATTCTGCATTTACTATGTTGGTAATAATGTTTCAGACTGATACATGTGGTTTATAAGCTCTCTCGTATGTGCCTCATTTCCCATCCTTTCTAATTGACATGCTCGAATTTTCTCATAAGTAGCAAAGGCCTGAACCTAGCATGGTGGCAGCCTGGCAGGTATGGGTGTATATACTCCCATCACCCAGGTTCCAGTTTTCTGCAACTCAAATATGCGCTACTTTCTCCTTTGTAGGTCCATTTGCTTTAAGGATAAGAAAGATTGGACAGGGATTATGAATTCATGATATAAAGTTAAATATCATTTGTGGTTCGAGAAAAGATGGATGACGGATAAGATAACTCAATTCTAACAGAAAAATACCTCTTCTAGGTATTCTAATATTTCTCTACCTCTTTTTCCCAAAGGAGACTTGGTGGGTTTTCCTCCTTTTCACGGGATATCTCTCTGTAATCCCATCTCTCTTCCCTTAGCAATAATTCCTGGCTAGAACAAACTCAGTAGTGATCAAACTGAAAAGAGAAGGCTACATGGAAGTAACACTGCCTGTGAAGTGTGAACATTTTGGAACATAAGAATGATTATAAAATCTAAACAGTTCATTGGGGTTAACAGAAAGGCATAAATGATACATAAGCCATTATACATAAGAATGATTGTTGTTGACTTATGATCTCCATTCATACAGCTTAGTTCTCTTGTGTTGCATCACAATTAGACTGTAAATATATTCATGAACAGATTTGATTACCATCATAACACTAACTTAATCAGCATGCATGTTCTAATTCCATACTTGCAACTCCAGACATTCCAATATGGAGATCTAGTGCACTGTGAAACTACTTTTGAGAAGATGGGCCGCACATCACAGGTTTGTGTCTAAATTCTGATCAGCTTCTTTCTTATTTTCACTACTTTTCGGATTTTTGTGGTCCCAATTTAGGCTTGTGGATGCATTTCTGAACATATTTCAGGTAAACATCATATGCGGTCAATGCCCAAATAAAGAATGCAAAGGTCTGTTGATTTTTCTTATTTTCCATACACCTTTCTGATTCTTGGGGGGAGTACTAACTAAAATTTGATTATGGTTGGCTGCATATAACAAGTTTCTGATTCTTGCGGGGAGTACTAACTAAAATTGATAACTTTATTATAGGCAAACAAGGATGCATCTGTAGTATATCTTATGATGAACTGATGTGCAGGTAACCAGTTTACTTTATTTGCATTTTGGGTGAAGTTTTCTTTCTGATAATTGATGCAGTAGTTGTGGATTTTACCCAGTGCCTACTGCCTATACTAATTTTCCTTTTTAGTTTCTTGTAAATGCATCCCATCCCTATTTTATGTTTGATGTACTAAGTACTAACTGCCAGGCTCTCCCTTGCTGTATTCAAAAAACTTGTAAGAGTTGGGGATGTTTTCATTTGTATAGAACTATTAGTGTGGAAGTAGTAACCGGATTCCAAAAAATTTTATGTTCGCTAGTAAACAGAATAATTGAACCAAGATTACTATTTTTTTAGAGGAAACCATGATTACTATTGAGTCTAGGTCTTCTCATCCAAGTTGTTCCCATGCTGTTAGCATGCCATGATAATATCTTGTAAAACGAAAGACAATATTGTGTTAAACTTTGAAGCGGTTTAGCACAAACTTTTTTAGACACAAGAAGAGGAATAGATGGACAAGGATGTAATCATGTAAATTGCTTTGAACAGAATGGTGCCAAACTTTGTAGAGAATATGACTGATATAAACATGATTCTCTAAAATCAAAGAAAATAAAGTTTGAACATTGAGTATGATATATATTTCAAATCTGTGATTGCTTCTTGTTGTTTTGTTTTACTCCTTTTTTATATGTTCTTATATATGTTTATAGCATTATGGTGTTACTTGATTGATTCTAGTGTGTGCTTGACTGGTGGCTAAATGTGATCTTTCTGTCAGGGTGACTGTTGAACTTGCTATCCCATGTCCTAAAAGTGGTCCAAGAGTATTTAAGGGTTTCACTGTCGGATTCCATCCCCGGTCATCAGAGTTGGTAATGTTGGCTGATTGGCTTTTCTTATTTTTGGGGATCTTAACTATTATTTCAGTTTGTTTTACAAGTAATTTTGTTACCCTAGGTTTATAATGGATTGACTCAACTGGGATTTGAGCAATCTCATCATGAGTTCAGGTATTATCCTGTCAAAGTATTGTTAACTTTTAATTAGATGATGTTGGCCTATTTAAGCTTCAGCTTATCTGAATAGAAAATACGTAATTGGACACTTTGATTGCTTTCAGAAAAGAACTTTCATCAGGCTTAATATAGGATGCAGTGCCTAGAGAGGGTTGACTTGTTTTTAGGTGGGATTTCTGTAAGTTATTAAGTATAAAGCCTATATGGTTGGTTGGACCCAGCTGTCTCTGTCTGTGGGGTGATCTAGTTGCTTGAGTAACCAGTTTGTTACTTAGTGGCTACAACAGATGCATGGCATGGGCTAGACCACTCAGGCACTGACCTGTCATTGTGGGAACTTTTGGGGGGGGGGGATGATTAAATGAAACACCCCATATCCATCCAAATGCATGGATGGAAGGGAAGTCTTTAAACAAAATGCCATATGTTCAAGTCAAAAACTAGAGTTTGTTGTTTTGCCATGAATTCTGGTGCTATTAGTGGATCCAAGTAGGTGCTGAAATAAATGTAGGTCGGACAGGGTAATAATCAAAGCTTATTCTGATGCATATTATGTAAGAAAAACTTGGACATGATTCAAAACGTGATTGAGTGATGGATAGTCCTAAAATGGTTGATTGGATGAATGTAACACAATATATATAGATATATTTTTTGTTATTTCCCAGTACATGTGAAAATTTTCAACTAGTCCTAAACTCCCAGAATTTCTGCTGTGAAATTTTAAACAACCGCTACATTATTTACATGTAATTTCCATTGCATTATTCTGTTTTCTGTGCAGCTTTCAGGGTGAGCAGAGTCATGTATCCCTGTATCTTAGTGCAGTGTTTTCACTCTCAGGACTTGTTGGAAAACCTTCCTTGAAGGTAGGGAAAAAAGGATTTAGGCCATAAAAACAACACTTTTTCCATATGTTTTTCTTCATTGATGAAATGTTTTTTTCCCATCAGATTTCGTACTTTTGTGATGTTGTATGTTGCTCCGTGTTAGTGACCACTTCATCAGTGCAGTCAAGCCTAGCTTAGTTGATAATAATACTGCAGTTGTCATTAGTAGAACTGTACTGTATACATGTAACTTTTAAACCATTTTATTGAACCAGGTTAATCCAGTTAAAGGGCTTGATGTGACACTGACAGGATCAGGGACCAACGGTGCTATGCCTACTACCCTGTCCCCTACAATTCTGAATGTGATCTGGAGATGTTAGTTGCATCCTTGTCTCTCCGAACAGATGCATTGATACATTCAATGTATGAGCTTGTTTTCTATATTTTGTAGGTGAAATCGCGCGGAGCAGTCCTTATGAGGTCAACATTTTGATTCCAGTAGAAGGCTATGATCCAATTGAATTTACGCTCACCAAAGAATGTGGTTGGTTCGACCACATAATTGTCAGTTCTACATAAGTGCATATTGACTTCTAGTCGCATTTAGACACATTTCAATTGAGAAAATTTCGTACGTTAGAAATCCGATGGGTTTAGTTTTCAATAATATGGGACATAAATTTAAGAAAAATAAAAAAAACTAACATTCATTTTAACTTAGTGTAGTTTGCAATTCTATGATTAGCACCATCTGAATATTTGCTCTGTAGATTGGACAAGTGTGTTCCTATCTTGAAGTCAAGAAGTCAAGATATTTATGGCAATCATTAGTTTATTATATTTATCTTGAAGATGAATAACTACTAAAAGCTGCATATAACTAGTATTGTGATACAAGCAAGGTGAACAAAAGTTAGTTGATTAGTCTTACAATTCTCATCTTCCTTGTTCAAAAATGCACAGATATATTTCAGTTTGATTACCCTGTGAGTTATGCATTTGTTTGTTTGTGTAGTTCATATACAAGAAAAAGAGAGTAATCCAATGAGAGGCTGGGCAACATTTGGGATTATTTCTTGCATGTATGTGTGCCTTGAACTTTGTAAATTAGCTTCACAGCAATGGTATATATCGTACCATGAATTACAAAGTCTGTTTTCTGAAATTAGCTCTTCCTCAAATTTGGAATCGTTTGTTTCATATGTATAAATTGTCCTGGGCCTTATAAACTAGCTTCACAGTGACCACCTCAGATTCTTTCGTAAACATCTTTGTTGCAATTAGTTTTCCTCTGACGCTCTATTCATCGATTTTTTACTGTTTTTCTATGGGCATGCAGCTTCATTGTGTTGTCAAGTCTACTTTGTTGTGGAGGTTTCATCTACAAAACACGTGTCCAACATCAGGTAAAATTTTATTCTGTAAAACAAAAATCTTATAAGCAATACTGTGCAGAATTGTCTTGATAAATGGCACCTTTGCGCCAATTTCAGTCTGGTTTATATGCGCTGCCTGGGATGACCATCTTGTCTGCCTTCCTAGATGCGGTAAGTGTTGAAACTTTTATCTGAACTACCTGCTCATTGCCATATGACAAAGTAATTAATAATCATATAATAAAATGCCAAAATACTTATTTGTAACCTAATCGTTTGTGATCAGGTTGGTGGACCAAGCTACATGAGAGCAGATGATCATGGCGGAAACCATGCAAGCCAAGCATCATGGGAACGCATGCCTGGTACCTCACAAGCAGCAGAGCATGGCACCAAAGATAGGAGATACGGATCACTTTGAACTGAACGATGCTTTAGTTTTTGAGGGTTGCTTTTTTGTAAGTTTGAAGTATTCTGTAATCAGACAAACTCTGCACTTCATCTGCAGTTGAGCTTCCGAAGCATTGCTTATCATCTTTTCAGCTTAGATGGTGTTATGAATTGTGGTGGTGGATCATTCAGCATGCCACCATCGTCATCGCCATCCGATCGACGTGCATGCTCATTAGCAGATACTAGACCTCTGTTCTTAGATAGTGCTCCCTCCAGTTTTTAATGCTCAACATTATTGACTTTGGACATATGTTTAATGATTTATCTTATTAAAAAACTTATGTAATTATAATTTATTTTGTTATTTGTTTTATTATTAAAGAAAAGCATGACTTTATATTTTTTTTGCATACTTACATTATTTTTTTTAATATAAGATGATGAATAGTCCGACGTACATCCAAAACCAAAAGTCACGGATGTCAACATCTATCATATCTAGGGTTTTCAATTTCGAAATCAGTTTTTTTTTTGTCGGGGGAGACCGAAATTTCGGTAATTTCAGAAATTTTTTTTGGCCAAAATTATTTGAAACTGACTGATTTTGATTAAATTCGAATAAAATTTGACCAAATTCAAAAAAAATGCAAAAAAAAAAAAAACTGAAAATTTCAGGTGAGATTTGAGCTTGCCGGTAGGGGGCGAAATTACCGAAATTTCAAACCGTGATCATATATTTACCCTGTAGTTCAATAAATAGTTTTACTCACCACTCATTCTTTTTATTCATCGCTCAACGGTCCAGATCATCTCGCTCACATCCAACGCATGCATCAGAATCAACTAGCCGGAAAATCGCGCACGCGGGATCCACCAAATCGCGCGCCCTTCTCCCTCCGCGCGCGCCTACGCCAAATCGCCAACCGCCGCCGCCCTCTCTCCCGCACCCGTCGCGAATCCCCCTCCGCCTCCGCAATCCGCCGCGGCACCCACACCTCCCTCCCCTCCCAGATCGCCGCCGCCGATCCCCCGCGTCCTCCACCGTCGCCGAATCCCCTTCAGCGTTGGATCGAGCGCCGTCGTCATCATCATATCCTAACTGACCAAGCAAGCAGCGGTGATTTTTTGTTGAAGGCGGTTTAATTACCTTCGTTATTCGGTTCGTGCAACCACACTCTCTCACCCTCACCTGACACACGGACGATCGATGGGCAACGCCGTCGGCGCGGCGGCGAACGGCGTCGCCGCCTTCTTCGGCAACACCTTGTTCGCGCCATTCCGATCCCTCTTAGACGTCTCCTGCGAGTAAGAACTTCTGTTTTTTTTTTTTACTGAAATTGATGTTCTTGCGTCCGATGAGAAGAATAATCCGTGTAAATGTTGTTCAAATTAATCGCGCGCTGATTTTGTTGTTGTTGTTGTTATTTAAATTAATTCTTGATCATCTTCTAGTGGCGTTTGCGCGGGAACATGGGACGCGTTCTGCTTCATCGACCATCTCTGCGCGCTCAGCCTCGGCAAACTCATCCTGTTCCTTGTCCTCTCCTACCTCAGTAAGTTTTGCTACTCGTAGCGTTTTTTTTTGTTTGAATTCTATACTAAATTTCATCCAAGTTTGTTCTAAATTAATCTAGCAGCGTGTTAATTGATATTTCGATGATTTGATTTGATTCGCAGTGCTGCTGGTGATGTGGAAGCTCGGCGGCAAGTGCGTGCTCAAGAGCGCCTGCAAGACGGCCATGGCGGCGTGCTCCTGCTGCTGCCACGCCATGGCGGCCGCGCCGTGCTACCTCTGGCGCGCGCTGCGGAGCACCAGGCGCGTGCGCCGCGGGCGCCGCCGCCGCCGCGACGACGACGTGGAGGAAGGAAGAGGAGGAGGAGGAGGATGGGGCGGCTCGTCGTCGGGGTTCGGCTGGAGCTCCAATGAGGAGGAGGAGGAGGAGGAGGAGGAGGAGGGGGGCTCCTCCTCCACCGGAGGCGGGGAGTACGGTGGCGGCCGCCGGCGCCACGGGAGGAGTGGCGGCGGCGGCGCGAGGAAGCAAGAGCGGATGCGGCGGTCTCTGCGGCTGAGGCCGGCGAGCTTCAAGGAGAAGGCGGTGGCCACGGCGGCGAGGAGGAGCAGGAGCAGCCATGGCCATGGGGAGAGCGGCGGCGGCGGCGGAGGCCGGCGTCTCCGGCGTGTCGGGTCGTCGTCGAGGAGGATGTGATCAAAGGTGTTCGTCCCGTCGCCGCCGAGTGGCCATGGCGCGCGCGGGAATCTGATGGTTTAAATATGTTCCTTTACTCAAATATATTCTTGTCTCGCATCTCCAACTTAGATATATTCCATCTGAATCACACTGTCTCTGTTGTTATTCGGGGAAAATCTATAGTTCAAACCACAAATATGATGTAAATCGTAAAACTTTTACTCTCGCTAAAACTTAAGTATCAGAGTAGTAAATATTTTACTTTGGATGATATGAACAAATCTTAGATGTCACTTTTTCATCATATGTAGAGCCTGTTTACTTTGATGAAAAAAAAAAACCTTACCAAATTTTGGCGTTGCCAAAATTACCAAAATTTGGCAGGATTTCTTATATAGTTATCAAAATTTGGTAGCAAACTAAATATAGCTATTTTTTTGGCAACTTTACCAAAATCTGGTAAGGTTGAAAATGGCATCAAAAGTGAATAGGCCCGTAGTTTCTAGGTTTGTACTCTATATTTTCCTCTATTTTTCAACAACATGCCTTTATATTCTATCACACCCATCCCTAGAATACATTATTTTTAGCTATGCACCTACACATAGAGGTAGAGACTAGAGAGTGGTCTAAATTATGAAATATAAAACTAAAACAATGGGTATCTTTAAATTTTATCTAATTATGTTACGGCACATAATTAGTTTGTTGGTATTTATTTTATGAAAAAAATTAAGTTACTTACATTTTTCACTGCTTCGAGGTACAAAAACTATCCTTCCACAGGTCATTCAAAGGAATTCGGATCAGGTGCAGTTGCAGTAGTAACTGCAACTTAGCAACTGCACGCAACATCGGCCATCCATTTTTGCGATCAATGGTCTTGATTCGTAGCTACAGTAACCATGTGAACAGTAATTCGTGCTACAGTGTTTACTGCTACAGTAGTGTGAACAGTCAATACGTGATCTAGGCCGTCCAGCTTGTATCCAACGATGCGTACTGCTACTGCTTAGGGTGCAGTCACTGACTGCACCTGATCCATATCCCATTCAAAGATGATAAAATTATCCTTACCAGTGTGTACGGACGGCCCTGTTCGTTTCTTCTAAAAGTAGAGGATGAAAATTTGGATTTTCGTGGCACGCTTTTTAAATCGTTAAACGATACGTTTCGTGTGAAAATTTTCAATATGAAAGTTGCTCTAAAATATCATATTAATCTATTTTTCAAGTTTGTAATAATTAAAACTTAATCAATCATACGTTAATATCACTTTGTTTTACGTAAAAAAAAAACTTAATCTTCATCTTCATCTTCATCTTCGTTTTATGTATGATTTTTGATTATGTGCAAATTTCAAAAATCAAACGTTGGTGTGGCTAAAGAAATAAGAACAGGTGCGTGGCAAAACAAATTGGTGACTTTTGACTTTTAAGAGACGATGTGATAACATTCATCGAAAGGACTGGAATTACATTGAGTACAAAAAAGAAACAGGATTAATTTTGAAAAAGAAAAGCAGACAGGGCTTGCAGACTGCAATTACACCTCATGCCACCACACTTGCGTGGTGACATCCAAACTGGAAAACAATCTCTAAATTACAACGGTGACCAAAAGCAAAGGAAATATATTGATGCAAATTAAACCGAACCCGCTTTCATATGCTAGATCTTCTTGTTAACCACACGGCAGTTCTTGCGGATTTCTCCGTCGTAACCAGTGAGGGGATTGATGTTCCCCATCTTGGTTATCGAGTTCACGTAGTGCTCGAAGAACAGCGGTTCGTTTTCTGCATAGCTTCTGACGAGACCCGCGATCTGCGGGTCTCGTCCTGTCCACAGAACTTCATCTGAATTGAGGAGCCCTCTTCCCTCGATCAGCAGCTTGTAATAGGTGTTGTCGAATTTCGAAGGGGTAGCAAACTCCAGTGGGCGTAAGTTGTTGTCACCGCCGTTGCGTGGGCATGTTGAGGCCAGTGTGGAGTAGAACATTCTCTCTAGCGTTTTGTCAGGCTGGTTGTCTCTGTGCTGGTTGTAGAGCCTCTGCTTGAAGCTCACACATCTGGCCATTCCAATGGTGTGGCTTCCTGTCAATGCAGAAAAATGTATGTATTTGTTTGGTGAGAAAAATATTATTAGTTGTTTCAATTATGTTAATGCAGGAGGATGGTTTGGATTAGCATTTTAATTATCCCAGTATGACTAGAGCTACACTATCCTTATATTTGTTGTTCACTTAATTTTCTGGCAAATTTCATTGCTAGTTATGCTTTGTTTCAGTGTTTTTCTCATCTTTTCTAGGTTCTTGCAGTACTTTGAAAGATTAAACATGTGACAAGAAACTGATGTGGAGAACATGTACAAACAAATCTATTTTATTCCGCCGGATTTTTTTTTACTACATTACCTCAAAAAAAATCTAGTTTCAACACTGAAGAGGTGGAATTAATTCAATACCTGACAGTGCCACAAGGTCCACCTTATCCAGTCCTTGCCTTTCAAAGAATTTCACAAGACGATGCAGTGTCGCATTTGGTGGAGGAAGGTTCTTGTTTGCTAATTTCATATATGCTGCCTTTGAATCCTTCCTTCCTAGTGGAAGTTCCCAGTATGGGCCACCGCTCTGTCATGAGATAAAAACCATTAAATTTCATCATGCTTGTGGTAGATAATTTTAAACTGAGGTTAGAAACATTATTTTTACTTGAAATGCCAGTGTTATATATACATCTACATCCAAACAAGATGAACCAAAGTATTGTAGTTGCTTTCAGAAATTCTCTTATTGTGTTCTCTTGAAAAAGAATGAAGTCTATATTTTAAACAGATGAATGAAGTTTTTTTTTTTAATTTTAAGAGCAGAGATGTTTACCAGAACTGTTGAACCTCTCGCAGCTAGGGCAATGGTGTCAGCACAAGAGACTGTGTGTGGACAAGCTTCTTCAAGTGCAGCCTTGATCTCGTCTATAACTTCAAATCCTCTAATAGAATTTTTGTTAGGAATAGCCTTTTTCTCGCTCACGAATTCTTCACTGTCATCCAACAAAACCGACGCGTCGCATCCCTGAAATTTCATCGAGACGATCAAAACCACTTCTCATTTATATCAATGAGTGAACACTGAAAATTGTGTTTCCTTCTAGAAATTTTGTGTTCTTTTAGAACAAGGAGGACACTTGAAAATGTGCTAACCTGAACAAAGCAGTCATGGAACAGGAGCCTGAGAAGAGAAGCAGCAATCCTCTGCTCCTTGGCAATAGCCTTCTTTAGGACAGAGACCACAATCTCATCAGCTTGTGGGCATGTAGCCTTATAGTAATCTGGAGAAAGAACTGGCTTTGGTGGGCTCTGCACAACTGGGTGAAGATCCTCATGGTGAGCAGGGAAAGCAAGAGCTACAGTGAAGCACAGAGAAGCAGTGAAAATTGCAGAAAGAACAGTCTTGGATGAAGCCATGATAGCTTCTGGAGAGTGAGATGCTGTGAATCTGTGGTTTGATTAGTTCTCGCAATTTCACTTCGTATTTATAGAACTCAAGAACTCTCAAAATGTTATAGAACTCATGTTGTTTCAGCTGCAACATTCCATTTCATCCACTCCACTAGCTAAGTTGTGGTAAGAAAAAGGAACATGCATGGAGTTGCTTTGGGTGTACCTGATATTCTCTACTGCTTGATTTAGAGGCTGCTTTTGTCTTGTGTATCAGTTACCACTATCTGATGTCTCATAATGCCTTGCCATGCTAAACTGACCTGCCTAAACCCTTTTGGTCTCTTATTATTGGTTCCACTTCAAGAACAATGAGAATTTTATAATCGGGCTATATATATGTCTTTCTTGTGTAAGGCACTACACATAATTGAGGTTTTCACTGCTATGGTTTTGCATTTTTGGTGTTCTAATAATACATGTTGGGAACAGAAAGTGTTGGCATTTGTTCAACCTACTTCTCTAAAATAATCCCTGGTAATATAAATCGAAAATGTTGGAATTAGCTGTAGCTACTCCAAATACATCGATCCTTGTAACACAACTGAGAGAGCTTGAGAAGAAAGCACATCTACACTTTAGTACTAAGTAGTGTATTAGGACAGCTTTGGTAACTAGGAATTTTTAACTGTTTCATTTCGTGTATATTTATGCATGCATGACAGAGCAAAAAGTTTAAAATCTCACGAGACCCTAATATATACACTGACCAAATTTAGTGAGAATTTCGACACATAACACATTAGTTATCCAACAAATGTAATTATTCAGAAATGTAACATATATTTCCTTTGAAAGATCCTTGACCTTATACAAACAATGCAAGTTAAAGTCTTGCACTTTAAAGCCCATGTTAACCACAAGAGCACTGCTCCCGTCCTGCATTTTGTACCGCATGGTACATGTACAGCGTGGTACCAAAACCCATCCAGCCGTTGATTTTACGGGGGTAGGATAGGAACAGGCAAAGAAGCAAGGCACCGCTCCATCCTTTGATTTTGCGCGACTTCTCTCCCGAATCAGACGTGAGACCCGCTGACCAGACATCATAAACCCTAGCCGCCGAACAAATGTCCACCTTCTAAATCGCGCCCCAAATCTCGCCGACGTCGCCGCCCGAAATCACATCGCCGCCGGAAGCATCTGCCGCCCCAAATCACATCGCCACCGGAAGCATCTGCCGCCCCAAATCACATCGCCGCCGGAAGCATCTGCCGCCCCAAATCACATTGCCGGAAGCAACTGCGGCCGTAGCAGTTGCCGTCGTCTGAGTCGCTGAAGCAGCCACCATTCCCCTTAAGCGGTGTACATCGCCGGCGGAGAAGCCCTTGCGATGCGGCGGCTCAATTAGGACTAATTGCTAGGGTTACCCCTTCACTCCAGCACTCATCGATCCAGATATTGTGAAAAGACATCAGTGCTCTTGCACCAAACGTTTTCAGGTGGTACTGCGCAAAGGATGCAAATGGTACCGCGTGGTACCGTGAATTCCTAACCGTTAGATCTGTGCAAATCAACGGCGCAAATTTTGTACCTTGTTGGTACCGCGCGGTACCTCAGGGGTGTGCTGGACGATAAAATTCCTATAACCACAAGGAAAGTAAGTTCAGACTTGCAGTTGTGCTGATCAGTATTCAGTGGTAGAGACTAGAGACCACTGTAAAACTATTCAAATCCAGTATTTTCAAGGGTTGAATACTACTACCTCCGTTTCTAAATTCTTGTCTTTGACTATTACTATTCCACTTAACCGTTAACACCTCCTAAATGGTTAAATTACGATGAACGAAAGATTAATTCTTATATAAGTTAGAATCCTACACATACTTTGATAACACGGTATCTTTTCTTTGGGAAAAAAAAAGACGAGTGGCAAGTTAAAATGTGAATAGTGCATGGTGACAACTGACAAGTTTTTAAGGAACGGAGGGAGTATAATACAGTAAACTCTCATATGGCAATACAGGAGCTATAGACAGATCTCGCTGTCTGAACTGTGCGAGACTGTGTCTGTTAACAGTAGCCATCACCTGGTCGGTGCTGAATATGCATCAATGAACAGTTACCACTGTTAATCTGTTTCGGACGCCTGGGTAGTTGGATCAATGAACTATAAACAAAATATACTCTGAATCCCTGAACTTTAACTTTCGGCCAAATGCAACATGTTGCTCTGTCCGGGTTTCAGAATTTTTCAGACCTAAGCTTAGAGTGCAATTCAGTGCATTGGCGAGCCTTGGAATGCAACCATTTTGGAACCCCACAGGTATGGTCACTCGCTGTCTCGTACAGTGACGCGATGAATGACGATTCCCAATTGCACGGCCTAATAATTAATCGATGAATTAACCTACTTAATAAACTAGTAATTAACTAGCCAGCTTCTGGAGACAAATTAGAAATAGCTGCGCACGTACATGATCATGTGCGAGTTTCGTTGCTGTCTTAGCACGCAAATGCCCGGCCTTCCAATCTTATGGAGATCATGCATAACACGACCGGTTATCTGCCCGGCCGGGGTGAAGCAGAGTAATCACGTGTTCATAAGCGTGCAGCCCCATCGTTTCGCTTATTACAGCATATTTACAAACGAAAAGTAGTTTGTAAATAAAACTTTTATATGCGTGTTGTTAGCGATCTAAAAGCAAAGGCTGAAAAATAAACTTCGATAAAAAATCCTAAAATTAACTTCAAATTTAAGGTTGAAAATTTAAATTTTGACTGATAAACATAAGTATAAGCGAAAAGATAAGACCAATGGTTTATTGGGTTTATGCAGGGGCGGATATAGAATTCTAGTAGAAAGGACTTATGTCCTTTCTCCTCAAGCTCTCTCATACTCTTCCTTAATTTTCTCCCTCTTCTTCCCTCTCTAGTCTCTCTTATCTCCTTCTCTCAATGGTGATCCAACGGGGTAGGGGGACTTGAGTATCCAACACCCACGCTGGATCCGTCTCTAGATATGTGAGTATGTTACCTCGTATCAATCAGAAATATGCTTACATGTATTAATTGTGTGTAGACAAAAGAGAAACTGTAGTTCAGTACTCCCTTGTGCTTTCCATAAAATTAGCCTATTGTTCGTGCGTTGTTATAAAATTTTAATTAATAAAAATTATCGTTAATATGTTATTATTGTTATTTTCTTTATATATGCATCATCTCTTAATTTGCAGGCGGCGCTTTATAAAATTTGGAGATTTTTTTACCAGCTTTAGGTAGTGATTAATGGCGCGTCGGAAAATATGGCTACGGCTGCATGCCGGCCGGCCGGCAAGTGGTTCTTGGCCGACCAGTCGGCGCAATCAATTCAAATGTAGGACTTGACGTGAGAAAAATACTATATAGAGAAACATAAGAGAAAGTTTAATACTATAGCCAACTACCACTCCAAATTATTTATAGTCAATATAATGACCAATTCATACAATAGTTGCTTACTACACTATTAATATCTTGTCCCATCTATCATACACACATTACGTCTTGAAACCCGTGCTGCAGCTGGCTACATATCTACAGCCCGCTGCTCTTCTCTCTCTTCTTTTATCTCTTTAAAATATATTTATAGCTAGCTTATAGCCTGCTATTATATATGCTCCAATGCACTCAAACTTTCGACACAACAGTATACTAGTTAGGCCCACACACTGCTGCCGCTAGCTGCAAGCATATGCTACACGTAAGCACGTTACGTGCATGTCCAATTAAGTGATAATTAGGACATGCATTCACGATCAGGGGTGGATATAAGAGGGCTCAAGCTGGCCTCTACTACTGACACGAGGATCATACAAGCTTCCCTTACAAAGATGGGAAGATGAGCTTGTAGCTTAATTTTTTCTAGTTTGTTAAGTCTGGATTCATCACTGTTCAAGATAAAATGACTAGAACAATGTTGGCAGAATATTAAATGAGTTATCACATAGAATAATTCTCCACAACATCAAGACATAATGAGAAAGGAGTAGCATTAAATTTGAATATGAATCAATAGTGTTTGCATTAGAAAAAAATAGTATCCAGTACTGATTCATAATGTGGATATGGAAATCATGGCTACTTTCTTTTATTGCGGTGGCCCTTAGCTACTTCCTCCATGCCCATTTAATTGTCACATTTGCAAATAACTCCAAGATCTATGCAAGAAACCCTTCTTCTTTCCAAAACTAATTCTCATCGATCAACATGCTGTGTTAGGCATACATGATACATGTACATGTGGATATGCAAAAGTGCAATTGCATACATGGGAGACATGCAACGATGTCATTTACTCATGCACAGATAAACGAACATATGTATAACGATGTCATTCACTTCTACGCAGATAAACAAATAAACATTATAATAGATGATGATTAATTTTGAAAGACCTTAAAAAATTTATATGATAATTAAATGGGTATCATAGAGTGGGCAGTGTGCATGCATGCATCCATCATTCACTAGTAAAAAACAATATTTCCAGATGGCCCAAAAGTGATTTTTGTGTGCAGACCTCCGGTCTGTCTGTCCGGAAGGGTCTACGAAAATCCAATTTTTTCACAAGGGTGGCGCGCCCGCACACAAAAATCAAATTTTCACGCGCGGGTGCTTATGTTGTCCACACGCGAAAACAAAAATCCAAAAAAAAACCCGCACCCGTCGGCCGCTCGCCGCGCACCCGCCGCCGGATCCGGGAGGGCACGTCCGTCCACCGCTGCCGGGCTCCTCCCGCCGCCTCCGTCGTGCTCTTTCCGCCACCGTCGTGCTCCTCCCACCACTGCTGGGCTCTTCCATTGCTGTCGTCGCCGTGCTCCTCCTCCACCACTGCCGTGCTCTTCCTCCCACCGCTGCCATGCTCCTCCTGCCACCGCCCGATCCGGGCGGGGGACGGCCGCCGCCACTGGATCTACGCGTGGGACGGCCCTCACCACTCGCCTGCCACCACGTGCCCACCGGCCGACTGCCGCGCGCCCCTCACCACCTTTGACTCCCGCCGCCCCACGCCAGATCCACCACCGCTTGCTCGCCACCACCAGA